AAAAAAAAAAAAAAAAAAAAACATAATGTACACTTTGTAAAAAAAGCTCTCATATGTTTATTTACTAGATTTCGACCGCGGCTATAACTGTGTGGAATTTAAAAAAAAAAACAATTTGAATAGCTCATGTGTATCATAGACAATCCTCTACATGTATGCCAAATGTCATCGAAATTTCAGCAGTTTAGGCTACAAATTCTAGTCAACATTTATCCATCTAAACTATCACATTTATAATGTTAGTAACACTTTTATCTTTTTAATTATCTGAATATTGTTAAAGGACGGGAACACGTAATAAAACGACAAGCCTAAATATTGATTTATAAATATCGACAAATATCGTATTAAAATTAATTATATTATAAATGCGAAAGTTTATATGGATGGATGGTTGTTTGTTAGAGTTTGTAGCCTATACTGCTGAATATATCTCGATGGTAGTCATAGAGAACAGCCTGGAAGAACAGGCTACTTTGTTTTTTAAATTCCATGCGGACGGAGTCGCGGGCGAAAGCTAGTTATAATATAAATATATGTATTTTTTTTGCAGAACACAGCGCACGGCACCCTGTATATTGACGACGGGGAGACTTACGAATATAAGAATAATAAATACATCTACGCCAAGATCGCTTACGAACCTAACCAGATGACATACACGTGAGTATATTTTTAGTAATTTGTCTATATGCTGCTAGGCCATTTTTGACCTCCACTTTGTTCTCTTGTAATTAAAAAAAAATCTAAATAGTGCCTAAGTCTATGTCAAAAATCGAAATTTTTATAAGAACAGATAATTATTAATTAATGTAATTTATTTCTTATGCAAAATATTTTTGTAGTATATCTTTCATTTATGAATTTATATTTTTAACATTTTATTCTACCATTTTCCTTACGAAGGTCTTAAGGGTTATCTGTTTTAGCCGTTATATTTGATTTCGCTTCTTAAAAATACGAAAACCTGTACGATTACGCTAGCTTCCCTAATTGAATCGAGTAGAACCCCTCCCCCCCTTCCTAAAAAAAGAATAATATAAATGAACGAAAGCAAAACAAATATGTCAACAATAACATTTTATATATCTTCATTTCTTATCAAATATAAAAAAAATTCCAGGCTAGTGAATCCATCATCAGAGTTCTCTACCCGCGCTTGGATCGAGCGTATAGTGATAGCGGGGGTGCAGTCGGCGCCGCGCACCGCGCGCCTGCAGGCCGCCGGCCGCGCCGCCGCGCTGCACATGACGCTGCACCGCGGCAACAACGTCCTCGTCATCCGCAAGCCCGCCGCGCCGCTGCACTCCCACTGGACTATACACTTCACACAATAACACCCTATATATAAAATTATCACACGTAAGCAACAACATTTTAATATGTAGATGAGGCAAAGTTGACATTTTGTACACGATCACTAACGCCATCTATTGATTAGACCCTTTCACGCGATCACTAACGCCATCTATTGTTTAGGTCTTTGAAACAGTCAATATAAATTGTTTAAATTGGTCAATAGGTGGCATTAAATAATGTTTTACTTTGTAATACTTTATTTCCTGAAAGATGTTCCTAATAATTTTGTAAAATATTTTATTTCATGTCCAAACAAGGAATATAGTACTTTTCAGAGAAAGTACCGGTGTAACATTATTGTTTTCTACGCCTCGTCTATATATTTTTTTAAATGTCTTTGCTTATAAGTAATGTTATAGTAACTTTAATCGCATGTTATAAGATTCTTGTCTGTTTTATGAATTTTAAGGCCGTTGTACTATTTGTACATCATTATAGTAAAAATGACGCTGGTAACATTTTACAGTTAAAAAATTCTGAATTATTTCGAACTGACTAAACATTGACATAAAATATTTGATCTCGCTTAGAGTAATATGCATGAAACATGTTTTATGTGATTGTTTCCAGCAGTGCGAACGCCACGAATATACATATACCGAGTTCAGAATTAATTGTAGTATCAAAATTATTACCATTAAATAAAATAAAATTAACTTCTAAAGGAATAGCCTACGTTGAAAAAAATAATTTGTTTAAAAAACTCAATTTTGATATGTTATGATAGCTGTCGTCTACGTCTTATTAAAAAAATAAGCGTGGAATTATTAAAAGTAGCTTATGATATTTCGGCATTTATCGGATATCTTTCTGTCAAAATCCCATTGAAATTAACTAACGCGGAGTTTAGGACAAATATTTTAAAAATATAATTCTCATCAGCAATGGAAATATCATCTTTACGAGTTTCTTCAATGTTACAGACACTCCAATTTTATTATATGTATTATAAATGTGTCCTAGAATTGACATCTAAAGAATAATATGTCTATATGCAGTCTGTACAAATTAGTGTTGCCATCTGTTTGACATTTTGTCATTAAAAAATATAATTATTATTATGTACTATTACAAATCCCGACGTTTAAAGTCACGAGTTATTAATATTTTTGTTTTTAAAAACTAATACATTATGTTACAAATTACAGCTTAATGCCGACATATGGCAACACTAAATCAGTATGGAGGTTTAATATGTTTAGTACTAAGCAGAATGTAGTACAGATAATGTAAGCGACTTTATTTCTACAAAGAAATACTTTAATTTTAAATAATTGATGTGTTTTGTATAATCACAATTGTCCTAATTATTAAGATTTTCAATACACTGTTTTCTATCACTTCTAAAATTACATAAATATTTGCGATATTCCTGAGGAAAAAAAAAGTCAATACTAGTTATCAAAATGTTTTTTATTTGTTGTACCCCAATAGCACAATGGTTAGATACTACCCAACTAGTGGTCGTGGGTTCGAATCCCGGCATTCTAGTTATGTACAATGGGGGCATTTGGTGGTGTTCCAACTACAAAGCTACGGCCGTATGAATGAAAATTAGGCTAGTACACTACTGATTTCCCTTTATTTTATATCGTCGTTTGTGCAACTCGCTGGTATATTATTGGTTATTTGTGTCTTGTAATGGCAAGGGAATTTTTTAACACCGCAAATTTCCGCGACTGTACTTTTATAGGTTTTTGTAAGGAAATAGTGTATTGAATTCCTTTACAATAATGTTCATTTAATGTTGAAACGGCAAAATTTAGTTGCAATTACATTTTCTATACAACTTTAAATGAACACTCAATTTTATGTATGACAGATGTATGTTTTATCATATCTTGTGATAATAAAATAGATTTTTAAATCAACAAACTTTTATTTTTCAAAACGAACCTTTTCCTATAGTTTACATTTTTAAAATTATGACCATATACATTTTATTACAGAAACTTTATAATACTAACATATTTATCTATATAATTCTGCAGTTTTTAATACATTTTTACTCAAGGAACTCAAAAAAACTGGGCTTACAATGTGTTGAAAAATTATTCGATCACATTTGAATTCGTTTACACTTATATTTCAATAAGGGTTAAAATGAAGACATCCTTTTTTCTATATACAGATATTTAAAACCTTATTTACAAATGCCAACTCTTATGAACTAAATAAAACATAATACAAAATTATTCTTAGCAGACGGATCACAAGTAATGTGGCGGTAGAAGACAGAAGTATGTTGCGGGATTTCACAGTTTTAAGATTATGAAATAATTGTAAAAATCATATTTTCGACAAAAAATTTGCTCGTGAGTCCAAAATAATGTTTACAGTGGTCATTTTTCTTGAACAAGTCTAGTAATTGGACTTTAGGACTGTTATCCCGTTTTGGGAAGCGCATGAGAACAAAGTAAATAAAACTTACGAAAATCATTTATTGTCATGTTTAAAAATTATTTTTAATAGAGTTTATTATAAATAATCTATGGCTTTTTTCTATCTATTTATCAGCAATTTTTCAGAATAACTTATTATGAGACATAAATACTGATAAACACCTATTACTTATTTTTTTAAAGAATATACCCCTATTTATCACAAAATTTAAAACTGATATTTCAGTTGGATTTCAAACTATTAAATCTATACTAATAAGTGGGTAGACGTAAAAATTAAGTGCTATCACACATAAAAACAGTTATTTTCAACTTTTATAATTATTTAAAAAAAAGCGTGAGTTATAACTAGACTATGAATTTCTTCTCTTATTTTGAATAAACAACAAATTTCTTTCTTCTTTAGACTAAAATACAGACTTTTCCAATTTGCTCTAAAAGTTAAAGAAACAGTGACATAATCTTATGATTTAAAATTCACAATAATCAACAATTTACTTATCTATTTTTAGGCAATTTTTGCCATTAGTAAATCTATCTCTTTTAGTGATCGGAAGTTATTTAAAAAATATCCTTGTCGGTTTATCATCATTGGGTATTTCAATAAATGGATGTGACTTTTGGTGTTCCAACATTTTGGACATCGAGTTGAAAATTAGACCACAAATATCACAAGTTACTTCACCACCCGTATTTGTACTTTCATCACCACTACCATCATTTCCATCACCTTTCACCACCATCCATTCCTGTTTTTCAGGATTATCATCACTTTTAGAAGTCGATTGCTCAACTCCTAGGACTTTTCCAGTAGATAAGAAATCTTTCATACTTAAATGTTTCGCAGACCTTTTATGCTGATTCAATCTATTTAACGAGCTACACTGGTACTCACAAATGAAACAAACATACTTCATATCTCCAGTATGCAATCCTGCATGGGCTTTCCTCTTTTGGATCGTTGCGAATCGAAAATCGCAAAATTTACATTTATACTTTCTGTCCGGTGAATGAAGACGCATATGAGAAGTTAATGCTTCCGTATCTCTGCAAACCTTTCTACATTCTATACACAGGACGCCTTTTTCGTGCATTCCAGAATCTTCCATATGATCTGTGATGTGATGGATACGTCTATGAGACATCAAACCTTTAAGAGTTATGTAAACTCTTCGGCAATCTATACACTGGAATTGAGGCACCACTTTCAAATCCACGCTATGTTTTTCTATCTTATGTAACGCAAGTTTATCCGCTTCGAGGAACTGTACATCACAATCTTCACATTTCCATGCTTTAATTAATTTAGAAAACGCTTCTAAAACATCCAACACAGATTGCCCTTCAACTTCGGGATGTTCAGTTTTCATATGATTACCAAAATCTATTATTTTAGTAAATGTCCCGTTGCAATGCGGACACGCGTATGGTTCCTTGTGATCATACATAACGTGAGTCTTTAATTCCGATAATTCAGGACAAGTTTTCGCACACATAAAACATTTCAACTTTTGCTTCCCTTTAACTACTTCGGATAACATTTTGTACTCCATCACTTGAACTTTCTGATGTAATTGTAAATGTTTGAATAGTTCTTTCCGATTTTTGTAATCTGTGGGACAAAATTTGCACGGAAACATCACCTTTCTGTGCACTTGTTTCCTGTGCTGAAGTAATTCCTCTTTATTTTGGAACTGTTTGTAGCATGTACCACAGGATAAATAATTCTGGTCCTTGGTTGCATCATGTGAACGTAAACAAGCCTCCAATCGAGTCTTGCGTTGGAAAATTTTACCACAAGTGCATACATAACCTCCTTTACTAACATCAATTTGGGGTTCTACTTTTACCACATTTATCACTTTTTTTTCCTTCTTTGCCTTCTCTTTTCTCATTTTTAACCTTTTTGCTTTATATAATTCACGTTTTTCTATAGTCATGTGACATTTTTGGTGTTTCTTCAGATATGAAGGATGTTTGTAACTTTTTGGACATAATGCACAGTTGTAGGACATGCCTATTTTTTTGGCTTCTAAAAGTCCGTAAGCTTCTTGCTCTAATGTCATCATATTACTGGTTATGGAGTTTAATAGGAATGAATCTCCGCAGTCCATTGCATCATAGGGTGTTGACAGTATCTCTTCAGTATTGACAACTTTACCGAGGGGAACTCCCGCGTGTACATTCATAGGCAATATTTCCATAAACAATGTGTTAGCTGGTTGTGCTACTGTAATACCAACATGTTGATTATTTGTATTAATCAATTCATTTGATATTAAATTAGTTTCTGTATCCATTGATTCTATTTCATTTTTTACAACCACATCCTCCGGTTCTTCATTTCCCTGAATGTTTTCCTGAAAATCCACAAACATGACCATTATTTTCTAAGTTACGATTTAGAGAAATCCAACATTACAGTAGGCATAAATTTAATCTGAATCTATGTGTGCATTTTTATCTTATCATATGCTATCTATACTAATATAATTTGGAGAGATTTGTGTTTTTGTATGTGGCAAGTGAATTTAAAAACAATTACACACTTAGTGAAAAGATTTGTGTCTCCGCAACTCTTACTGTTTGAGTCACTGGATTCCGCAGCCAGTTGTGCACTATTTTAATATAATTATTTTTTATTATTGATGTAAAATATCATCCTAAAGATGTAAATAAATACCTCATGTGTTTCATTCTCCAATTTAACTTTAATTTCATCTTGTAGACATGCCTCAACATTATGTAATGCTTCAGCACTTTTACTGTCACTACTGTCTTCGTCACAATCATTCTGATCATTTACTATATCATTTTCATATTTAATTTCTATATTATCATCATAAATATTGGTTATTTCGTTTACTTTACTGCAATTTTCTGTTGAAAATCTATCTATAGTTTCTTTATCTATAGGCATTTCACAGTTAATTTCTTGTGTTTGATTCTCATTGGGTGGTTCAAATTCTTCTTTAATTTGTACATTTTCATAACTTCCCATTTCATCTTCATCGATAGCTTCACATTTTATTTGTACATGTTCATCTAAATTTTCTTGTTTTACAACTATTTCATAATTACCTTGACTATTGCAAGTATCTTGCATATTTTGAGACGACATTTTAGTGCCTGAAATAAAGCATAATTATAAATTTTATATGGATGGATGGATGTTAGAGATTGTAGCCTAAATGGCTGAACGGATTTCGATTTAATTTGACATAGACATAGAAGATAGTTTGGAAAAACACATAGGCTATTCAGTTTTGTTTTTTTCTATCTCACATGAACGGAGTCGTGCAAAAGCTAGTAAAACATACTTATAGGGATGCCTGTTTCATGTGCTTTAGATGACAATGAATTGTAATTGGCTTGTACATCCTTATATGTTTCAATTAATACATTACATGTATAACAAAATTGTTTATTTTTAAAACTACAGACATTTTACATAAAGATAGTATGTTTGATATCACAATTAAAATTCATGGTTCATCAATTAGCTAATGTTTGCAGTTTTAACATTATGGTATTATTTTTTAAAAGTATATGCATATGTACGTATACGTTGCAATAATTTTTCACTATCTATTAGAATCTATCGATAAAAGTAAATTAAAAAAAAATTGTTAAGTACCTATGTATGTTACCGTATTTCTTTGTTATTCTTTTACTCCAATATAAGTGATGTTAAAATCATCATTTACATATCTTTAAGTAAGAGAAATGCAGTATTTACACGAATACACTTTCTTGAAATGCATAATAGGCGAAGTCCAAACCATTCACAATCAATCCATCTTTTAATTGTAATTATAAATGTAATTAACGCAAAAATAACATAAATGTTAGTCCTGATTACGGCCGATACGTTTTATTGTTTTATACAGACATTATTAGTCTATTTCAAATTATTTTCTTACTTTGATTATTCACAAAAGTTACAAAACATTGAACGGCTATTATCATTTCTTTCTAGATTTTTGACAGCTAACCAAAAATTTACCTACCTATTCTATAATCTCTATGATTATGAGTACGTTCTCTACGTTCACGGATTCCAATCTCGGTTTTCACTATGGAACACATTTTTAAGCTTTCTTCTTTCGTTTTTGAGCTATAATATTATAGAAAACACATAAAAATAAAGTGGACTTATTGAAAACGATACACCATTTGAAAGTTTTTTTTATCTCATATTCCTCAAGCATCTTTTTCTATACCGACACCAGCGTTTATTTCCCATTTTTAATATTATTTTAAGCAATATATTGCTTCTTTGTACAGCTATTGGAATACAAGTGAACGTTTTAAAATTTAGGGAATCTAATTCTACAAGACAAATAAAACTACATTTGTATTTCATAGTTTATTATCTACCAAAGATCATACACGTAAGCAATAAATTAAATTGCTTATTGAATTATAAAAGCTTAAAATGCAGTAAAATGCTTCAAGAACTATCCTAAGGATAATTAAAACGTAATACAGTATTAATAGTTTATTAAGAGTTAAATCTACCAAGTTTCGTTCCATTCAGTTTCATAATCGTCGTGTCCGTGCGAGTGTATGGGCATTGTCCTCTCCGGTTTGGGGTTGAAGGACAACATTTCTTCGATCATAGAGTTCGGCACCTTGTAGTACTCGACGTCAGACAAACGGATGTACATTATCGCCCCGCCTAGTAAATAACAACAAATTATATATTACAAAAAATGCAGTGTAAATAAACTGAGTATAAGCAAATATAAGTACAAATTTTGCTTATACTCAATATATTTCTAAGTTTAACTTTATACCGCGTTTATTTGTAAGGCTGCTGGTGTTTATATATATACTAATACTAGCTGTTGCTTGCGACTTCGCCAGCGTGATAAAAACTACTACTCTTTATTATACATGTCTATTTTTTTGTACGTATCTTATTTAGACAAACTATTCCCATAAACGTCACATCTCTAACTGACAGCTGTCAAAGTCATTAGAGGGATGGATGATTCGCGCGCATTCCTGTCGAGTTCTCTAGTGGAGAGTAAAAACTAATGTCGCCAGTTAGAATTATAGTAATAATTTAAAATGAGTGATACTAATGTAGTTTCGGTGAACTAACATATATTAGTGCCGTCGGCCTCTGCGAACTTGGGCAGCGTGGTGAGCGGCACCTTGCAGTACATGAGGTTGAAGGCGCGGTCGCTGCGGTACACCCTCACCGCTAGGTACTTCTTCAGGAACTTCATCATCAGGTCCTTGCTGGGCAGGAACGGCTCCCCGTAGATCTGAATTATATTCTCAAGTTAAATTCAGTTAAGAAATACATAGATACAATACAATTTATTTTATTTTTTTTTGTACAAAAATTTCAAACAAATGGCAAGTAAATTTATGTATGACTGTTAACTGATTTGTTGCCATCTAAAGATCGTTTGTTTGATCTTAAGATCAGGACCCTCACGCTACAGGTTGCGCCTAATGCGAGGGTACAGATCACAACATATAAAAAAATTCTACTGTAGCCATAACCAATATTTTTCTACCTCCATGTATAAATGATTATTGGATTTTTAATAAATCATTTTTACATTTTTCATTTTCATAGATATACATACATATAGTGAACAACATTTTTTCACCGGTAACTTCTCTGAAAGGTACTATGTTGTCAAGTTTTGTGCCACCTCATGTTTTATTGGCATGTTATAAAACATTTTACAAAATTATAATAAGCTACATCTTTTCTTATAATATAAACTGAACAGCCTCACAAAATAAAACAATCATTTAAATTTTATTAACATGAGGTTTTGAAAAAGTTTGAGGGTAGCCCAGTAGTAGAGAAGGTAAGGAGTAAAAGGTGAGCATGGTATGGGCATGTTATGAGGAGAGCTCAATCGCATGTTACAAGGAGAATGATAGTTATGAATGTTCACCGGAAGAGGTAGACGTAGAAAGAGATGGATGGATTGTGTAAAAGGTGACATGATCAAAAAAGGAGTGATGACTGAGATGACGTATGATAGAGTTATTTGGAGGACAAAAATCTGTTGTAACGACCTACTGGAGTAGGATAAGGAGGATGATGATGTGAGGTTTTGAAGACATATAGCGTTAATGGATCATGTAAAAATGTTCTCAGTGAAGTGTCAACTATGAAATAAATTTGTAAAAAGCTCTATTCATTGTTTACATTTGTAAAACTTTCAATTGCAATACTAATGTTAAAATGACATCAAAGGCTTTTGCCATTAGTTAACAATTATTGTTTCCATGGTAACCTTAGTTTTTGTTTCTTTCCCGCATGACGGTTTTTTTTTTTTCAAATTATGTACTCCTTATGTTATAAAAAAAAAAAAACAAAGTTTTGCAGTTAAAATGAATACTCACTCTCACTTTATAGTACATACTCTTCTTCTGCAAAATGTTGTCCTTCACAACTATCTGCACCATCTGAGAAGGAAACGTTTTGAAAGGTTTTATCAAAAAACTCTAATCAATACCAAAGAGAAAAGTTTGTATTTTTGTATGTAGCTGTTGCTCGCGACTTCTTCCGGGTGAAATTAAAAAACATAGCCCATGTTGCTCACAGATAACTTAGCTTTTTAATGGCGTAAGAATTGTTAAAATAAGCCTAGTAGTTTTTAAGTTATTTCAATACATATAAAAATACAAATCTTTCCTCTTTACAATATCAGTATAGAAGTATAGATAAGCGTCGTATTATTTTTAAAACGAAATTTAAAAATTGTCGTTGATCCTTGGTATAGAGCCTACTATGTCTATTGTGGGTTTATTGCGAAAACCTCAAATTTAGCCGACAGTTCGTCAGTCCGAACGGCCCAACGGGAAACACTGTGCGAAGTGCAGAGTATACAGTAAACATTCTCACCATAGGTATATAAGGGATGATCTTCTTCATCTCCTGCCGGACTCTCTGCACGGCCATCTCCTCCTCCATGGGCTCTTCACTGGTCGTTGTGTTCAGATTTTTTATATGGTTTTGGAGCTGGAAAAAAT